GCGTACTTCAAGCGTGCAGACCCTGAATTGGGACACAGCCTTGGACTACCCGGCTCAAGTCAAGAACAAAGATGGCAGTGAAGGCGAGTGTTAGCATCATGAATGCTCATTTGGAGGCCTGGGGTGCCAAAAACGTCTAAACCTGGAGGGAGGATTAAGACAGAAGAAGTGAAAAGGTGATGGGGGATAGATGGATGTGGAGAAATAGATGGGAGGGGGTTTCCATTCCTTTTAATATGCTCACGTCCCAAAGAAGCACAGGGAGTCACTTTACCCTCGCTGTATTATTAGCAGCCGAGAACACAGAGAGAAGCTGGGATCCATGTCACTCTTTATCTCTCTCGCTCATTAACACATGCATTCCCGTAATATCCATTTCCACTTAAAAATCCTCTGATTGATGGAAGGTTTTGGCTAGTTCGGTGTTCCTCAGGGCCTCAACATGACTGACCAAGTCAGATCAACGTGATCCTCACTGCTCTGTAACGTCTGTCAGTCTGGGTGCATTTAAACTGCAGCTATGATACTGACTAAAGAGGATTTTAGCTCCGATCCACCTTCCCCTTTAACGCTCCCACTGCATTTTAGCTCATCTCTTTTTAGCCTCCCTCCGTCCCTCCTCTTGACTCCGATCACCCCCACCCCCTGCCTTTCTCTCCCAGTAGGGTGGAGTCTATGAGTTGATCTGAACAGTTTCAGGGTCACCCTCCAGTTGTAGAGGGGTGATCTGGTCCTCCTGCTTTCTTTAATTTTCCTTTCTGAGGTCTTCCTTTGGATATTCCCAGTGTTTCGACAGTCATCCTCAAATTCATATCTTTGTTCTTCACATCTTTCAAATTTCACTCTTAACTGGAGTACATTTTACTGGAGTTTGCCTGTCCAAGTCATCCTCCTCTTCCTCATTACTTTGTTCCTTTTATCTCTGGATCACTGGACACAAAAGGTCGATCGACCGAGCAACGAGAATATTACCAGCAAACCAAGCAGCAAGAATGACCGATAAACCGGGGATGACGACTGGTGGCGGAGATGATGCGGGTAGCATCATGGCGTTGCTGGAACGCGTGGCGGGCCTCATGGACAGCGTCCAGGTCACACAGCAGCGCATGGAGGAGCGTCAGCTTGAGCTGGAGAGCACGGTCAAAACCATCCAGGCCGACGTTGTCAAACTGACCAATGAGCACGCCAACACCAGCTCTACCGTCGACCGGCTGCTGGAGAAAACACGGAAGGTCAGCCGGCACATCAAGGATGTCAGGGTGCGTGTGGAGAACCAGAACATCAGGGTCAAGAAGGTGGAGGCCACTCAGGGTGACCTCCTCGCCAAGAACAAGTTCAGGGTGGTCATTTATCAGGTAAGACTCTCACGCGTTCTCTGTATCAGAAAGTTCTTGTTCTTAATATGCTTCATGGATCAAGGAATGTTGGAGACTGTCCTTCTGGAC